ACATTAATCCAGTTTGTACAGCTGGTAGACCCTCCTGCCCTGTCTGCCTTATTCAAAAATATTCCACGATCACAGAACAGGCTGTTAAAAATCAGGGGCCGCATGGCGATTCCTCAAGGATCTAGAAATATAAATATCATTTGACCCAGCAATCCCATTACTGGGCATATACCCAAAGGATTATAAATCATTCTACTCTAAAGACACATGCACATGTATGTTTATCGCGTCAGTGTTCACAGTAGCAAAGACTTGGACCCAACCCAAATACTCATCAGTGATAGACTGGATAAAGAAAATGTGGCACATATACACTATGGAATACTATGCAGTCATAAAAAAAAAAGATGAGTTTATGTCCTTTGCAGGGACATGGATGAAGCTGGAAACCATCATTTTCAGCAAACTGACACAAGAACAGAAAACCAAACACTGCATGTTCTCACTCATGGGAATTGAACAATGAGAACACATGGACACAGGGAGGATAGCATAACACACTGGGGCCTGTTGGGGGGTGGGGGACTAGGGGAGGGATAGCAGGGGGTTGGGGGATTGGGGAGGAATAACATTAGGAGAAATACTGAATGTAGATGACGGGGGATGGATGCAGCAAGCCATCACCATGGCACGTGTATACCTATGTAACAAAACTGCACATTCGGCACATGTACCCCAGAACTTAAAGTATAATAAAAAAAATCAGGGGCTGTTTATAATTACTCATGGGTGCATCTCAGGACTCTTTCCAGTGATGTGCGGCCGGGGGAGAGATCAACAGGTATCCGGCTGCCCTTCATGTCTCCAGCCCCCAGAGTCAGATTTTCAGGTTCGTTCAAACAACTCAGTTGCTCCCATGATAGACCTTATAATACAAGCATATTGTAAATTGAGCTTGCTAAAAATATTTGGAAGCCACAGATGTAGTGAAAAGGGCACAGATTTTAGAGGCAGGCAGTTCTGGATTTGAGACTTCGTTTCCATCATTTGGTACCCATACAGTCTCTGGCAAAGGAATTCGGCCCTCTAATGCCGAATTGTCTCATCTGTAAAATGGGTCTGTTCTCTGGCAGCCAGGATCTTTTTTTTTAGAGTCAAGGTCTTGCTCTGTCCTTCAGGCTGGAGTATAGTTGTGTGATCATAGCTTGCTGCAGTCTCTAACTCCTGGACCAAAGGGATCCTCCTGAGTCAGCCTCCCATGTAGCTGGGATTACAAGCGCACACCACCATACCTGGCTAGGCAGGACATTTTTACAGAATTTAGATGTGTGGACAATGGGCTTACTTTTGTGCCTGACACATAACAGTATATTCAACAAATGGTAGTTATCATTATGCTTTTCATGCTGATAATTAAAGTGTTACAGTTCAGGGGTGTCCAATCTTTTAGCTTCCCTGGGCCGCATTGGAAGAAGAAGAACCGTCTTGGGCCACATATAAAATACACTAACACTAATGATAATTGATTACCTAAAAAAAAAAAAAAGAAAAGAGAGAAAAAGAAAGAAATCACAACAAAATCTCATAGCGTCTTAAGAAAGCTTACGAATTTGTGTTGGGCCTCATTCCAAGATGTCTTGGCTGCATGCAGCCTAGGAGCTGTGGACAAGGTTGTTTTACACTGTAGAAATATAGATATTTTATTGCATTTGCATATTTCCTTCTGTGGTGGACATAGCATGTGCATATCCTGATAAATCTATTTTCCTATAATGCAGAGATTTCAGCAGATTGTAATGACATTCCTCTTTCTGCTACATTTTTTGCAGCAAATTTATTTTCTTTCATTTTTAAAATGTGTGAAGCCTTAACAGAATAATTTCTTATACTTTGGTTTTTTTCTAGTAGAAAAAAAAAATCAGAGCCGGTGGGAATTGCGTTTATACACTGGGACCCCAAAGTGCTGCTTTATTTTTATGTACTGACTCGTTGGGGGTTGGCTGTCGAAATCCTTGCTCTTAGAAATGCATTTGAGCCCCTGGGAAACTGAATAGGGAAAAAAGAGCTAATTAAAAAAGCTGCCATCCACCTCCTCTAATTAACTTGCACTCTGCTCCCAAGAGAGGATTCAGAGATACGAAAACAAGGCAGGCAGCACCGGAAGGGAATGCCATCCTCGTGGTCCATGTGGCCCCTGGTGTTTTGATGCAGAAATCGTTCATAGTGAACAGGCAAGGGACCACAAAGGAGCTTGGTGTGCCCTGGCCACCCCATGCTCTGCCTTCCACACAGAGTGATAGTGAGCGGCGGTCCCTCTGGGCAGGTGTGCAGGCTGGGCAGCTGCTGCAGCGGAGACCTCATTGGAATTCAGCAGCTAGAACCGAGGGGCATCCGGCCCTCCCTGTTGCTTGCTTGTGCTGTTGAGAAAGAGCAGGGCCTTTTGTACTTCAGAGCCTGGTGTCGCCAGTGCCCAGGAATGCAGGAGCCAGGGGGCAGATGAGCCCTCAGGCTTTCCCCAAATCTCTGCGTGAGTGGGGCAGCCTCGGGGCCTCTGGACACCGGAGAAGCTCACAGCATCTGTGGCTGGTGGTGCAGCTAACTTTTTTGGTGACATTGAAAGAGATTTAGATCCAAGAGATACCAGCAGGGGAATTAGGGGTGGGAATTTGGGCGACAGAGGCCGTTCTTCAGCAGAAATGGCCTATGCCTCCTGGCAGACGTGGTCCCCAGTGGAATGGGCCCGGTGGATGTGGACAGCGGTGACCAGCAGTGGGGACTCCAGTCTGCTGCACCAGGGAGGCTCTGGAAAAAGGCAAGTTAACTCTGTATCGTGTCTGTGTTGCTCATGTTGATGCAGTGCTCGGGGCCTGGTGAGGAAGCTGGTTCCCAGGGCTATACCCGGGGCCCTGCAGCAGGCCGCCAGGCTGATCCGAACTCTCATTCTTCTTTGTGGCTCAGTTGTATGACCTCCTTTTGTTTTCCACACGGATAAACAGATGCTTCAGGTACCTCTATCTGTTGTGCAAGTGTGGATCTTACATTATCCCCACAGACAAAAGCTAAGCCCTTTGATATTAATGAGTGTTTGTAAGAAGTCAATATCTTCTGTTGTGTTTGCATGAATTATTTCCTCATGAAATTTAATAGTAGACTGGCTTTGGCTCATTGGACCCCATCAAAAGCAGCGATGATGTTTCTTTTAAACCCTTTGGTTCCCTGGAGGCTTTGTGACTGGTTGGAGGCGCCAAGGTCCTTGCGCGGGTGGAGGGGGACAAGGGGGTCTTTGGCGCTGATGAAGTAACTCACTAACAAACTAGTTGTAAAAGCATTGATACAGACTTTCTGAAGGGAACTTACCAAAATGCTCTTTCCTCTGGTCCCAGCGGATAGTGGAGGGATTGGTTTGGTTCCTGGTGCTCTCTGCCAGCTGGCTGTGGACTTTAGAAGATGGTGACCTCTCCTGGGGTCCCTGGTCCTTTAGTCCTTGTGGAAGCTCGCCAATGTGAACATCTCACAGCGTTGGGTGGCGTGGCTCGGTGACACCGGTGCAGCTTGGTGCACGTACTGTCCATACTCACCTGCCAGGTCACCCTGATTTCATGTCTTCACCAGGTGTGCTTGCTGGGATCATTTGTGCCAATCAGCCACCCTAAGTGTCCACCCTCTTGATAATTAACCCCCTCGTTGCAAATGACTAAATCAATATTTTGGTCGGTTTAACCCTTCCAAAATGGACTCAGCCCAGCTGCTGCTGCTGCCCGGTGCTAGCTGTCCTCTGAGGCAAGGCTGGGCTCTGGACCGCAGGCCGTTGGCATCTTGAGCATAGGAGGAGCCGGCTTGGTACTGGGGGGAGGCTTATTATTTCTGGCTTAAAATTGAGTCACCGGTGGCAGCAGGGTGATAGAGAGGGCTGTCTGTTGGTTCTTCCTCTTCTTCTTTTTAATTTTTTTAAGAGACAGGGTCTTTCTCTATCACCCAGGCTGGGGTGTATTGGCACAGTCATAGCTCACTGCAGCCTCAAACTTCTGGGCTCAAGTGATCCTCCTGCCTCGCCCTCCCTAGTAGTTGAGACCATAGGCATGTGCCACCAAGCCTGGCTAATATTTTTAGTTTTAGTTTTTATAGAAATAGGGCCTCACTGTGTTGCCCAGGCTGGTCTCAAACACCTGACATCAAGCGCTCCTCCCACCTCAGTCTCCCAAAGCGCTGGGATCAGAGGCTTGAGACACTGCATCTGGCCTGCTGGTTCTTCTTCAGTGCAGGCCAAGGCTTGGCCAGTGGCTTCTCCTTGTTAGTGGGCAGAATTTCTCCAGATGGATTTTCTGTCCAGTTTTCTGGATGAAGAGCCTTCCTTGAGAACAGACTTTCCTGCAGACCAGCGAGGGCCATTTTTTTTTCACTGTATCGGGGTTGGTGGCTGTGCTTTGTGTCGGTCTGATGCACCCTCTGCCTGGCCGGCTGGCTTCATTCATTCACTCCATCCACCCAGTCACCAGATGTTCATTCCCGGCGCTCTGCTGTAGGCTCGGGGATGCTGTGAGAAACAAGGCCAGCTGCCTTCTTGTCTTTTGATCTCAGTAAAAGAGAAAGACAGTAAACACCACTAGAATAAGTCCATGCTCACAAGTTACGAGAGGTGCTGAGAAGGCAGGGCAGTGGAGAGAATGATGGGGTGGGATCCTGTGGGTGAGTTGGCACCATGGCATTGAACATGCAAATGCCTCTCTCTCTCTTTGAACCCACACCCGATAACGAGCGTGTGTGGCAGTTCATCCAGAATCTGCCCTGTGTGTATTTGCCACTAAGGCAAGAAGCGTGTATTTCCAGTAGAGCTGAGTTCAAAGAATACATCATTTGTGCACAGTCAGAGCCACTGATAAGATTCACCCTTGGGAATCACAACTGAGAAAATTACTTTCCTCTCATCTGTCCCTGCACAGTTTAATTGAGCAGCGAGCTAGAACCCACCACTGGCTCTGGGTCCGAAGGCCACGCTTGCTTAGCAGAACTGGCCCTGGGCCCCTGTCTAACCTGTGCTGCTTCTCCCTCTCTCTCATCAGGAGTTCTGATTCTGAAGAGGCATTTGAGACCCCGGAGTCAACGACCCCTGTCAAAGCTCCATCTGCTCCACCCCCGCCGCCCCCCGAAGTCATCCCAGAACCTGAGGTCAGCGCACAGCCACCCCTGGAAGAACCAGGTAACCAAGGGCAGGGAGGCCCCGGAGAGCCCTGTGGCCGTGAGCCCCGGGGGAGATTAGCAACAGTTCCTCTGGTGCAGGCTGCAAGCGAGCACCCACCCCAGGGGGCTGAGTTGGCCTCTTGGCTTTGAGTTGTGCTTGATGTGGCTTCTGTAGTTGTCTTGAAAATGTAGGGTAAAGAGATACATTGGATTATTCTGCATTTGCTTTGCAGTATTTGAGGGGCGGCCTCTGGGGAGATTGGGTTCTGGAGGGCAGTGGGTCTCGGAAGTTCACAGCATAGTCTTGGATTCCAGCTCTTGGCCCCTTGCTTTTGTAAGAGCGTTCATTCTGGACAGCCCTGTAATCTACATGTGTATTCCCAGCACCAGGCTTTGGGAAGGAAGGTAGTAAGGGGTGAGGATAGAGGGGTAGACATTCACAGCAGACCATGGTGGTTTGTTTATTCCCCATTAATCTAATGTCACCTGATTTCTTATTACTTTCCCACATCTCTTCTCCCTTAGTGTGAGTGAAAACACCTTGATGTTCCTTTTAGACGGGTCATTAGTGGACAGGTGGAACAAATCCCCTCCCCAGGCCACCCCTGGGGGGCATTCTGCGCCTCCCACAGTTACACCAGCACAGAGAACCATCTCTCACATGGAAGATGAATAGGCGCCTGGAAGAGATGGGGCCTGTCAGAGAGGGCCCCACAGGCCGGCCAGGGGGCCAGGTGGCATTGTCCTTAGACCTGGACAGCTCTGGGCCCCACACCTTAGAGGACCCCACTGTGGCCTTCCTTGGCCCACAGCCCTCCCATGTGATGAGGAGTCTGCAGGGCCAGACCCCTTCTAGACCACACAGTGGATTCCTGGGAGTGGTCACTGCCAGGGTCCCCTTTGTCCCCTTCTCCTGGCCCTTCCTCCTGAGGGCAAACGGTACCTAAGAAGGAGCCAAGGATGGGGCTGGGCTCCTCCACTGTGCTCTTGCCCTGGCCGGGAGCCAGGTAAACTGTACAATAAAATAACATTTTGACCTTGATGCTGGTTTTAGAAAGAAATGGGTGGAATTCTTTTTATCTGCCCTGGGTTCTAGCAGCCCATTGTTTTGGGAAGGATGTACACTCCCGGGGCATTGTTCCTAAACCAGTAAGTCCCTGTGCTGGGGCAAGGGGGCAGGACAGTGTTCATGAGAGCTGACACCTTTGCTGGAGTTCGACAAAATCTGCTCCCGTGTCCCCCATCTGTGACAGCTCATCAGCCCGCAGCAGTGTCTGGATTCAGCTGACCAGGGTAAACACCGGGCTCCAGAAGGATAGTGACTGGTATTTCTTTGATTTGAAGATAGAGAAGAGCCAGGAGCGCTGTCTATAGTTCTCAGAAAGTTATTTGCATCTCTGCCTTTATTTTGTATGATAAAGCATATAAAACTGTATTTCCCATAATATTTTTTAAAAAGTCACCCATAATTTTTAATGGTAGGTTGCTGAATGACAAATACATTGTAATCTCTAGGTCAAATGTGTGATTAAGAATAAAGTATTCTTGGCCAGGCGCGATGGCTCACCCCTGTAATCCCAGCACTTGGGGAGGCAAGGCAGGCGGATCATGATGTCAGGAGTTCAAGACCAGCCTGGCCAACATAGTGAAACCCCTTCTCTACTAAAAATACAAACATTAGCTGGGTGTGGTGGTGCACACCTGTAGTCCTAGCTACTCGAGAGGCTGAGGCAGGAGAATCACTTGAACCTGGAAGGCGGAGGTTGTAGTGAGCCTAGATCATGCCACTGCACTCCAGCCTGGGCGACAGAGGGAGACTCCATCTCAAAAAAAAGAAAAAAGAAAAGGAAACAGTTTAGAAGAGAATGATGGCATATTACAGGGCATGTTCCATCCCCAGACGCCAAGGAGAGTGCAGAGAAAGCCACTTCTGGCCACAGGCATGTCTCCTGGGATTCCCAATGTCCTGCCAGCTCCTGGAGAACAGGATGCCACTCTGGTCTTTTCTTTGGTATGGTCCTTCTTCCTTCTGCCTAACTTCCTTTCAGCAAAGCAAAGAACAATCTCCGTTCTTAAAAACGAACATGCGCAATACCCACCTCTCTGTTAGCTGGCAGTTACTAAAAGAATGAGCATTATTGAGGATTAAGAGAGAACCCCCACCCCAAGGGAAGGGGCTGGAAAGTTAATTGCTGCGTAGTCACAGCCCCTCAGAACCTTTGATTACACCCATTGGAGTGTTTGAACGTGGACTTTATGCTTCCCCTCCTTTGAAAATGGCAGCAAGCCTAGCTGTGTAAGGGTTGTACACTGAGGAGACTTACGGTTGGAACTGTGTCTGCTGAAAGCCCCCCCTAGCTTGGGCTGTACAAAGATTCATTTGATTTGCTGCCCTGGTAGAAAACCACCTCCCAGATGGAGGGTCCCCTCGTCCATTCTGTAGACCAGCATGGGGCATTACAAAGGCGTGGGAAGGCAGCTGTGCTTGCTAGCATAGGTGGCTAGAGGAGAAGAAAGATTCGTTCTGAGAACCACAGGAAAGAAGGGCGCCAGGGGGAAATCTATTGTTCACTTTCCTCTGCACAGTGCCTGGAATATGGCAAAAGGTGCTGCGAGAACCACGTGAAGTAAAGACAAGACCTTTGGCTGTGAATAAAGATGTGGTTTTTCGTCCTGCCAACCTACATTTTATAAAGCACTCACTTGCCCTACATTGGGTCCTGCCAGCGTCTCTGTGCTCTCTGGGATGGAAGATGTGGGCTGGAGCAGCCCTGCCAGCCTGTTCTGAGGGCTGTAGCCTGGACCACACTCCCAAGGCAGAGGATGGGGCAAAGGACTGCACCTGCCGCCAGCTGGGGCGGGCCAGGACTTCGCTCATCTGAGCGCAGTTCCCTTATCTGTAAAATGAAGAGGGTGATCTGTGAGTCCCTTCAGATCCTTCCTGCCCTGGCCTTCCGCGGTCGTGTGAACAGAATGCTTGGCTGAGGTACAGTGACTGTGTTGTGAGAACTCAAAACTGGCCACTGAGGGGCATAAATGCACGTCATGTAATTAAATAATGGCTCCAAATCAAGCATTTGCCTTGTCAGGGCTGTGCTAGGTCCTCTGAGTGTTTCGTCTCCCACGCAGGTGAGGGAGGATTGGCTGCATGCACACAGCATCTCTGTACAGTGGATATCTTCCCCTGATTCCCAGTGACACGCAGAGGTTACGGACCTCGTGCGCCGTCTCGCAGCCGATGAGGGGCTCTAGTGTCAGAACCCAGGCCTCTCCACCTCCAAGCCCAGCTCCCTTCCATTTGGAGCCAGACTGCTTTCCGCGAAGGTGCAGTGAGCTGATGCCTTTGTGCACCTAGCCTGGGGCAGGCACTTAGTAGGTGTTGAGCGAAAGTCGTTGCTGAACCTGCCATTGCTCAGATGTGTGCTGGGGCAGTCCTGCCAGTCTGTCCTGAGAGCTGCAGCCTGGGCCACGTCCCCGGGGCAGAGGATGGAGCAAAGGACTGCAAGTCAGTGGATGGTCAGTGGGGGTGACATGGCAGGGGAGCCGAGGCAGGTCCCCTCGAATAGTGCTCACCTGCCCTTCAGGGACATTGATGAACGTTGGGGAATGCAGCTTCTTTACTCGTTCTTGCGAGAAGACTGCCAAGCCCAGGGAAAGGCCCATGCTGGGGCCTCAGAGGTGATGGGAGCCTCCCTGTGCCCTGCGTGCCTACACCTTTCCTCTCTCTCCGGGACATGGTCCCGCCAGGCACTGATTGTGACACTACACTTGGGGGCCCGAGCCATCAAGCCAGGGGTATACGGGTTCACAGCCACCAGATCCTAGCACCAGTGCCCTCACCTGGCACTGACTGTGCTTCAAGTGGCTGGTAGTGGACAGCTCTCTTCACATTGACTTGGAATGGAGCTCAGTGCCCAGCCTGGCTGCAGAGCACCCGGTGGCTTCCATTCTCCTTGGGTCTGCTGCTGGTCGTTGTACACACTGTCACCTGCCTTCATCTCTGAGCAGCCCATGTGTCGGTGTTCCCTGAAGCCACAGGAGACTCTGCTGTCATAGGGTGGGGCAGCCCAGAACTCAGCCTGTGGCAGGGACATACAAGTGGGTGTCACCATGGCATGTGAAGAGCTGGGGGCATGGCTGCCTTTTCCTGGCACCTGCTGTGCTCACGGACTCTCCCTCCCCACCTGCGCAGAATGCCCGACGACAGCTGATGACAGCACACTGCCTTAGGTCTGACCAGGCGGCTATCACAACATAACCACAGGCTGGGCACCTGTTAACAACAGAAACATATTGCTCACAGTTCTGGAGGCTAGGAAGTCCAAGATCAAGGCTCTGGCAGATGTGGTGTCTAGGGAGGGTGGTGTCTGCTTTCTGTTCGCAGACAGCACCTCCTCCCGGTGTCCTTGCATGGTGGAAGGACACACAGTCTTCTTCAGGCCTCTTTTGTAAGGGCACTAATCCCACTCATGAGGACACTGCCCCCATGAGCTCATCACCTCCCAAAGGCCCCACCTCCTGATGCCATCACCTTATGTGAGGATTTCAACATAGGGATTTTGGGGACCCACACATTTGGACCAGAGCACACAGCGAGCTGAGGCCGAGACTTTTCAGGCCTGGGTCTGGTTACCACAGGCACTTGAACCCTTTTTGACCGGCTGCTCCCTCTTCACGATGTGAGTGTTTCATGTGCCCAGGTCCAGGGAACAGATGAGATCACTGAGGATTCTGATGCAGCCCAGGCAGAGGCTGGCACTGCACCCAGGGGCCCCTGGGCATTGAGCCAGGGGTATATGGGTTCACAGCCACAGATCCAAGACCCGTTCATCCCAGGCTGAGGGGACGGTGGAGAGTTTGGGGGCTGCTAGCCAGGTGAGGAAGTGGGAGTATGGCGACCTCACCCGCCTGCAGTGACTGTGTTCACATGGGGGGATGGTGACCTCATGTGTCCTGTGCCCCTTGGATGGAGACACCAACAACCTGGCAGGGCCCCAACCCTCTGGTCGCATGTTCACT